CCAAACCCCTTTTGTCTGAACATATATATGTATGGCTACAAAACCCTTGTGTCTGAACATACATATGTATGGCTACAAAACCCTTGTGTCTGAACATACATATGTATGGCTACAAAACCATTGTATCTGAACATACATATGTATGGCTACAAAACCCTTGTGTCTGAACATATATATGTATGGCTACAAAACCCTTGTGTCTGAACATATATATGTATGGCTACAAAACCCTTGTGTCTGAACATATATATGTATGGCTACAAAACCCTTATGCCTGAACATACATATGTATGGCTACAAAACCCTTGTGTCTGAACATACATATGTATGGCTACAAAACCCTTGTGTCTGAACATACATATGTATGGCTACAAAACCCTTGTGTCTGAATATACATATGTATGGCTACAAAACCCCATTAATCAACAAAATTATAACACTTCAAAAGATTACGTAAAACAGAGTAGGTACTGAAGATCCACTCGCATAAAAAAAACTGTAATTAATAATCAAAATAACCAGACCGTACAATAAACATCTACAGTCAAAATAACCAGACTGTACAATAAACATCTACAGTCAAAATAACCAGACTGTACAATAAACATCTACAGTCAAAATAACCAGACTGTACAATAAACATCTACAGTCAAAATAACCAGCTGTACAATAAACATCTACAGTCAAAATAACCAGACTGTACAATAAACATCTACAGTCAAAATAACCAGACTGTACAATAACCATCTACAATCAAAATAACCAGACTGTACAATAAACATCTACAGTCAAAATAACCAGACTGTACAACAAACATCAACAATCAAAATAACCAGACTGTACAACAAACATCAACAATCAAAATAACCAGACTAGTCTGGTTATTTTGATTGTTAATGTTTATTGTACAGACTGGTTATTTTGACTGTTCATGTTTATTGTACAGTCTGGTTATTTTGATTGTTAATGTTTATTGTACAGACTGGTTATTTTGACTGTTCATGTTTATTGTACTGGTTATTTTGATTGTTCGTGTTTATTGTACAATCTGGTTATTTTGACTGTTCATTTTTATTGTACATCTGTACAATAAACATGAAAGGTCAAAATAACCAGACTGTACAACAAACATGAACAGTCAAAATAACCAGACTGTACAATAAACATCTACAGTCAAAATAACCAAACTGTACAACAAACATTAACAATCAAAATAACCAGTCTGTACAACAAACATTTACAATTAAAATCCTCATGAGTTGAACACACCAGACAGTATGCTTGTTCTGTCAGAAGAAAGCTTTTAAGTTATTTTCACTTGCTCAATCGTGATACATTTGTAAACCTTGTTATTTCATAATCGTCAGTTATTTCCAGAAGGAAACTAATTCCGTTTCAAGGTTGTTTTACTCGCTAGTGTAGTTTCATTCTGAGCAGGTATAAATGAACCTTGAATTAAATCCAAATTATGTTTGAAACAACTAAAAGTGCAATTTTGGAAATAGAAATATATACTTCAAATCGATAGAAACAAGAGGGCCGGAACTAGTAGGGGGGTCGGAACTCCTGAAATATCGTTGCCCCCACCGTAGCCAATGGCGTCCATTAGTTTAACTTTAGATTCATTATATATATATATATCATATGGCCCAATTATATGTTAAATATGTTTGTTTCTCTGACAAACAAATGTAACTGACCTCTTCAAGTTCTAAGATGTAATTTTAAAACAATGGTTTTAGCTGCTATTACAAGAATATACGAGAGTCGCCACCACCACCTCCAGTAGTGTAAATGATGGAGAGTCGCCACCACCACCAGTAGTGTGAATGATGGAGAGTCGCCACCACCCTCGCCACCAGTGGTGTAAATGATGGAGAGTCGCCACCGCCACCAGTGGTGTAAATGATGGAGAGTCGCCACCACCACCAGTGATGTAAATGATGGAGAGTCGCCACCACCACCAGTGGTGTAAATGATGGAGAGTCGCCACCACCAGTGGTGTAAAATGATGGAGAGTCGCCACCACCACCAGTGGTGTAAAATGATGGAGAGTCGCCGCCACCACCAGTGATGTAAATGATGGAGAGTCGCCGCCGCCACCAGTGGTGTAAATGATGGAGAGTCGCCACCACCACCAGTGGTGTAAATGATGGAGAGTCGCCACCACCACCAGTGGTGTAAAATGATGGAGAGTCGCCGCCGCCACCAGTGGTGTAAATGATGACTTATGTGTTGTTCTATTGATTTTTCGCACGGAACGCGCACCGAATCCCATACATTTAATAAATAATTAAAATAACTTGATACCGTACCTGAAAATGCTTACCGACAAGATTTATATGTGACATTAAAAACCCTGTAGACAACAGTTGGCAGTTACACGCGTAACCCAAGAGGCAGGGCTGTAACTCCGAGTCTTTCTTAGGGAATTCAGTGTTCTCGAGCGGCGGGTTGGCAGTCTTAGTCGACACACAAAAAAAAATCTCACGACCCTGTGCTTTTGATGCCACGTGCGATCCATTTACACGAGGTGGCTGCTACGGAAGGCAGGGTAAAGCACGATGAGCTACCGGCTCGAGCAGCGGATTTCGGGTTACGGCGTGTTATTACAGAAAAAGAGGCTACATGCAGAGAGATTCGAGAAGTTATACGGTTCCTTCCAAGAGTGTTATCTAGATTTGTCGAGAACAAGGAAGGTTTCCAGATATTCTACTTTTTATCCAGTTTTAAAACCAGACTGTTAACACGCGTCGTAAAATGTATCATTAAATCATTGTAAATTGGCTTGTAAAACAAAACAAAAAGCGTCTGCTCGATATGTCGCCAAGGAAATAACAGATAAAATGAAAGTTTTTTTATAAGGTGATTTATCTCCAACTGTCTAATTTCTTTATTTTATCACTTTCGTGTATTTTTTTTTTTTTGGCTTCGTTTACGTATTGCGCGAGAGACTAGCATGTAAAGGTCATTCACTGATGAGAAATCACTAACAACCTAATCTACAAAGGTCACAATGATATCTAGTTACGATGACCCACCCACGCGAGTGCGGAAATTGATGCTGCCCAACAAAATGTGGCGAAAAGCTTAGTAAACTGTTCTCGGGCTGCAAGCTGTGAACCATGTCTCCTCCCACACCCCCCGATAACTATTCTCTTGTAAGTACGCTGAATTACGTATATCCGGCGTATGTTTGTGTGGAGCGTGATTATTCTTAGAACGTTTGGATATATACATTTATTGTCGAAAAATATTTCTCAACACCAATAAACCAGTCATTCCCGGGTTTTATGCTTATCGTCATGAGACGATTTCACTCTTAACTAAATAAAGCTCGACTTCAGCAGACGCTGCTACCCCTCTCAACATAAAATCATAGAACATCCAGAATGGTTGCATTACTCTTTGAGGGGTGGCTGCATCAAATTTCTAATTTATTATACAATAGTCACATTACAATTTGACAGAAATTGGAGTGGAGATCCAAATAAGTGGGATTTCTTGAAGACAACTGGGTTTGCGGTGAAAGCGACATTACGTTGGTAATGTTGGGACTACTAAAACAAAAATTAATGAAAACATCCGACAGCATAAGAGAATCAAACTTACTTATTCATTCACCTTCCATAGATTTGCCTTCACTTAACTTTTTTAAGCTTTTGCCTACCTCTAAAGCACATCTTTCGGCCACCCCTTCGTTTCCCACCACTTTCAGGATCCTGGGGTCGCTTCGCTAATATGCAGCTAGTTACAAAGCGTCTGAAGAGTTCCCTTTATCAATGGCAGGCTGTTAGTTCGCATCACAAACTCATGACTTGTAGGTAACATTATTCAACCATTTTAAGCGTCTGAAGACTTCCCTTTATCAATGGCAGGCTGTTAGTTTGCATCACAAACCCATGACTTGTAAATAACATTATTCAACCATTTTAAGCGTCTGAATAGGTAATATGACACTCTGTAATATAAAGACAGAAATATAACTCAGGAGGAAAGTGAAAAGACTACAAACCTAATAAATACACAAATGTATTGAAACAGTAAGCTATACACAACGGACTATTCGTATTACGACTTTAGCAGGGATCGAGCCCCAAATGTTAACGTTATTTACTTTGTAAGACCAGCAAGTCTATTTTAGAAATGTCAACTGAGGACTTCTGTCATATGATAGGATGATTAAAAGCTATGTTTAAAATAACAAATACAACTGGAGTCTTAACTGCAAGATTCTCGTTCAACCGGACCCCCTAGTGGCACAGCGGCATGTCTGCGGATTTACAACGCTAGTTTGTTTGTTTGTTTTGAATTTCGCGCAAAGCTACATGAGGGCTATCTGCGCTAGCCGTCCCTAATTTAGCAGTGTAAGACTAGAGGGAAGGCAGCTAGTCATCACCACCCACCGCCAACTCTTGGGCTGCTCTT